GTACTGCGCGTTTCCACAATCGCCTCCTCCAATTTACTCCTCATCTGCTCTAGTTCTTGGGTGACCATTCCATCATCGCCTGAATCAACCAGAGCAGGGAGATCCATGGCGCCCTCTAAATGTGGCTGCTGGTCTGTGGCCTGAAGAGCCGCATCCCCAGCTATAGCCGGTTCATTCGATGAGGGAATAGCCTCACGTCGTAGTCGTTCGAGTTCGGCATCATCAAATATTTTCGAGCGTATGATGTACCGAACTCGGTCTGCCAGGTTTTGCTCCGTGACGGAAACTGACGGCTCAAGCTCAGCAAAAAAGCGATGCATCCGAGCCCGATACGCTATCCCTCCAGTTTCTTCCCCTTTCGCCCTATAGTACGCCCGCAATGCGTTTATGTTCATATTTTTTGTCCAACGCATGCGGCGTACTCCACCAGCGGCGGGTGCCGCTTGCCGAGTCCGAGAGGACCCCGCCGACACCAAGCCATCTGGTGGGGATGATGGACGCGAGGGGCTGCTAGGTGGTCGTGCAGCACCTCGCGCTCGGCTGGCGGCTCGCATGCTGTCACGTCCAGCGCCAGCTCCAGACGCGCCCCGGCGACCCCCAGGCAGCGGCCCTATGCGCGTTCTATTATCTTCCATCATCCATTAAATTGGGCGTCAATTAACGGGAGACGCCCAGACCCGGCGCCGTTTAATAGTGTGGCCGTAAGCACAAACGGGCCTTTGCACCCTCAATACTGCCGAGGCACGGCGCTCACACCTCTTGGCAAGGCACTGACTGACTGCGATGACATAGCAGTTTTGTCACTTAACTGTTACGTCAGCGGGCGATGGGGTCGTCACTTCCCTACGCCTTATTATTATTATTATTATTATTATTATTTATTTTTATATGTAACTAGTTTTAACAAGAATGACGAAATACGAATTTCTATTAATCAACACCTGACCTGTACGTACTACCTTCACTCAGTAGTTTATATATCGAGGGAAAGGTGAACGTTTATAACAGCACCACAAAAGAAAAGGTATCAAACGTACATTTTGTCAATAATCCCGTGCTATTTCTTTTTCAAGACATACGATATGAACTTAATGGAGTAGATATAGATAAAATTAAGTATGCTGGTGTCACTACAACAATAAAATCTTATATATCCTTAAATGAAAATGAATCCAAATGTGCTCGAGTTTGGGGCTGGTCACCTGGCGAAACAAGCAATACTAGTGGTGGAGCGTTTTCCGCATCTATACCATTGAACAAGATATAAAGATTTGCAGAAGATTATGAAAGAAATATAATTAATTGTAAACATGAGTTAGTATTACTACGAAGCAATACAAATCTTAATGCGATCAAGTTAAATACAGGTGAAGTTGTAGAAGATATTATAGTCAATAAAATAGTTTGGCGAGTTCCACACATCAAAGTATCAGATCGTGAAAGAATCAGTCTATTAAACTTTTTAGAGAAAGATAGAGCATTGGCATTCCGTTCCTAGGACTTTATGAATATCCATTGCTACCCAAAACACGTAAACATACTTGTTCTATAAAAACTTCATCGCAAATAGAGAAACCACGATTTGTGGTCATTTCCTTGCAAACCAACCGCAAACATAACGCGAAATTATCAATGGCAGAGTTTGATCACTGTCACGTACGGGATGTAAGAGTCTTTTTAAATTCATCATATTATCCTTGTGAATGTCAGTTTTTCAGAAGATAAGTTTATTTTATTATAAGATCAGTATGCGAGATTTCAGCAGTTGTATCATGGACGTCAGTCAGAGCCGTTGATGTGTTTAAAGGAGTTCAGAGACGTGGCTCCAATATTTGTAATTGATTGTTCAAGACAACACGAAACTTTAAAAGGTTCGATCGATGTGAGAGTTGAAATCGAAACAGACCAAGAAATACCAGATCAGACAACCGCTTATTGCTTTATATTAAACGACTGTATTTTTGAATACAAACCACTGAGTAATATCGTTAAGAAAATATCATGAATAGCTACAATAATCGTCGATCTTCAAGGCTTCAAAAATAGCAAAAATTAATTTATAGTAAAGGAGTTTGCTATAGCCACTCTAGAGTACACCAGTATATTCCTAATTAAACTTCCTTACCCATTCACTTCACTATGTCCTGAAGAGAAAAAACAAATTGGCTGGATTGAAAAGCACAGAGGGTATCGATGGAGTGACGGCTTTGTTGATTATAGAGTTTCACAGAATTATAAATACATATTTGAAAGATAAAAAGATTTTTTTAAAAGGATGTGAAAAAATTAAATGGGTGCAAGATATTTGTGATGAAAATAATACTATCATAGATATAATTTGCTTAGGAGCTCCCAATTTAAATACTCTTTGTGAACTTTATTGTAAAGATACTTTACTGTATAACTGTTTTACTCATAAGAAAATATGTGCGTTAAAAAATATTTTATGTATTAAGAAATGGTGTTTTGAAAACATAATGATTGTTTGATTTCTAATAAAATATATGTAAATAAACACTTCATCTTTTAGTTTAAACTACCTTTGTGTTCGAGAAGAAGAAAAAAAAATAGTTTCAGACCGTTAACGATTAGTACTTATTATTAAAGTAACTGTTTTTTGTACCACCTTGCATTTTTAACGATGAAATAGATTAGCCTTCATATTTTGTTGTTATATTATTGAACCATTTGTATTTGAGATTTCGAATGAAACGGTATTAGAAATGGAGCAAAGATAAAAAAGCGGATCGAGAATTAGACTAAAAATTTAGACCTCTAATGAAGCGAATTGGGGCCTTCAGCGGCATGTAGCTCGAGCGAAACGAGAGCAAGTGACACAGAAGCCCCAATTCACACCTACTAGTGACGTTACAAAGCGCGATGCTACCATACTTCCTACATGTTACCAATAATGTTGCAAACAGCGCTTCACCTGTAAAGCGTGGCAACTGTGTGCATATCAATGGGAAATTAATCGAACAAAATTATTTAAATCCTCACTTTTAGTACCTTAACTTCAGCCATGACATAAACCTGCGATTTTACTTCTCATATATATGGCTTTCCGCATTCATCCTTCACTGTAGAGCCTATTCTCTTCTGGAACGCAATCCCTCATGAAAGTAGAACGGCTAACAATCGTTATGCATTCAAGAATAAAGTTAGCGAGCGTTATTTGAATAAACTGGCAGAATGATCTCATTAGTTGCTCATCATTAAATTAATTATTTTAAATATACATAATTTATATAAAATACATATATATGTATGGGTATACCTATAATTTTATTTTACATAAATACTTGATATTTTTGAAATATTTCGAAAACACGTGAAGTTCGACAACACGCATTGGAGCAGCGCGACGGAACCCACCCTTGCCCTTAAATCCTCTCAGAAATGAGAGGAGACTCGTGCCCAGCTGTGGGACGTACAATAGGCTGTAACTTTAATTTCAACTTTATTTATTTATCTCTGCATCACCCAAAGTTTGACAGTTAAAAATGCCTCAGGCAATAAGCCCACCTATACACCATATTAATATATAAATAAATAGGAAGAGATTTTCCGACTGGACCAGTGTAACCTTTCACTAACTGAAAATATTTTCAGCGATAGGAAATTTCACATAGATAAATGATCTATATAAACTTCGTTGGATTCCGTTGGAGTTAACCTTCGTTTATAACTATGTGGCTACCACTCGAGAACTGTACTAGGATTTAATTCCCCAATACCCAGATATTACTTTTCAATACTTATAACAATGTAGTGGATATTCACAACTACTCATTTAAAGTTTTTCGGCAAAAAAAATTATCAATATATCTAGTACTTTTATTGTATTAATTTGTTTTTAAATTTTGTATTGTATATTTTTAGTTATTTTATAACGTTTAGCTTGTAGGAAATGCAGTGAGCAGTGAGCATGCGGTATTAAACTATTATTAAATGTGCAATTAGTTTATCATGCAGGGAAACTCAAAGCATAGCTCCATCCATAGCTCGTTGAACTACCTTAAAATCTTCTTTGTCGGTAAGTGTTTACGCCCACCCTTGCTGGACCACAAAGGAGGTGCGACGCGCGGGCGCGGGAGGACAGCTGAGACGGACTGGCTGGCAAAAACTACCGCCGTGCATTATTATACTTAACGCGGCTATATCTACATCATTATTGTAACGAGGATTAATACAGTTTTGTCATAATTATATATATTTGTTGCAAGAAATTATAAGTATTCGTCATAAAGAAGAATTTTATTGAAGAGCGCCGAATTACCGAACATAATTTTGGTGACCCCCGACTATGATGTGGATGACGCAACAGGAAGGCGCCAGAAGTCCCGGAATAAGTGCATAGTGCCGGAATAAGTGGTAAACACGGACCCGAGGGAAGTACGCCCGTTCCTAGTAAATCTATTCATATCCTTGTCCATATAATTGTGCTCAATTTGTGTAAATATAGTTCGTTAATTCCGGTGCCATCGTTAGTTATACTTACCCACATAGTTCGTTGCATAAACAATAAATTGTACTTAATCTTCGTAAATAAGCAACAAGTAATATTTAAATAACTTCATTTTCATTCGAAAGTAAACAAAGGTCAACATTAATATCGTAAAATCATACAACTTAGTGTAAATCTTAATAAATAACTTGTAAACACAGTGTCTACAATCGATATTTTATCTTCGTTAAATCATTGATTTCGCATTAGAATCATTTAAAATATTAATACAAACATATAGTTAAACATATCGGCTAACTATTCCAGGCATTTGTTGGGAGTAAGCGGGCGAGAAAGTAAGTGCTTTCTTCATCGACACGGCGGACCTGTTTCCTGCTACCGTGCCGTGTTACACCGTGTCGCTGCGCCTGCGGCCGGCCGGTACAAAGGTCAGATCGGCGGCGAAGTGACCGGCGCATTGTTTACGAGGTTGGATTCACTTCATATTTTATTTACAAGTTAATACTTGTTTGCTAGTTATGTCGCCCACATTATGTCCGACTTAAAAGAACTAATAAAACAGAGGGGTAACATTCGCGGCCGAATAACAATATTCGAAAAGTATTTGACGCCATTAACGTTAATTAATAGTGAGTCTGAGCGCAACAAATTAATAAATAATGAATTAAATTTGAGATTAACAAAATTACAAGAATTATCGTACAGTTTCGATGAAATTCAAAGCAAAATTGAACAATTAGATCCCGATATATCGAAACAGTTGGAAGAACGGGAGGTAACCGAAAACCAGTTCTTTTATTTGATTGCTCAAGCTTAAGAGTTTTTAGATGCATACATAGATAGTAAAAATAAACATAGGGATGATGTTTCATGTCGTGGTAGTACTAAATCTGTTACAAATCATAATATAAAACTGCCACCGTTAAAATTCAAATACTTGGCTTCAGTTTCGAGACATGTACTTGTCTTTGATACACAATAATGAAAAAATAGATGAAATCAGCAAGTTTCATTATTTAAAATCATATCTGGAGGGACCCGCTCTGTCAGTGATTAACTCTGTCACTGTTTCAGCCGATAACTATGAAATCGCTTGGGCGTTGCTCTGCGATAGATATAATAACAAGCGTCTTTTAATAAACGAGCATGTTAAATGTTTATTTTCGATTGAAGCGCTTCATAAGGAGTCCGACCGGGGCCTGCGCAACCTAGTCGATACAATTTCGAAAAACCTGAGTGCGTTAAGGGTGTTAGGTGAGCCGACTGATAGTTGGAGCACGCTTATTATTTATATTGGGTCATCGAAGTTGGATTCCGTGACCGCGAGAAGTTGGGAAGAGTTCCGTAGCAAATTGGAAACGCATAGTTTGGACGACTTCTTCGATTTTCTTCGTAAAAGGGCAACTGTATTAACAGTCTACGCCGCTAAAGATACAAATAATAATAAAACAGAAAATCGTCAAAACTTTGCGCGATCGAAATCGTTCATGTCTACTTCGCTCGATTCACCATTCCGTGGTCATTGTTTGGCATGTAAACTAGATCATAAGTTATATGACTGTCATAAATTTAAATCTATGTCAGTCGAAGAACGAAACGCTAAGGTGGATCAATGGAAATTATGTAGTAATTGTCTTCGTAACGATCATCTATCTTATCAGTGCAGACTGGCAGGTTGTCGTATCTGTAAAAGAAAGCATAACACTTTATTACACAGGCAACACAAATTACAAAATAACCAACAGTCATTCCAAGGTCAACCATCAACACAACACGATACGCAAAACAACATAGACAACGTAGGTACATCTACGTCTACGTCTACATCATACAAAGAAATGTAAGCCTTTGAAAGTCCATAAATAAACACAGGCCTTCCCCAAAGACTGCTGAATATTCAATTTCTGTGCATGAGAACTATAATTGGAAATTATGAAAAAAGTCCTGCGATGGCGATTTGAACCTAAAAATAAAATGTCTGCTTAGGTGCCTTGAGATTCTGTTGTCATCGATTTCCTGGCTCAAGCTACCGTCAAATTCTTTCAAAAACTTCACAATGTAATGTAATGATATGTGCAAAACGCCTCTACCAGCCTCAAGAAAGATTAGAGTTTAGTAGGGATGGCGTAGAACTTGTATGGATAAGTATTGCAGCTCGTACACTGAGCAATACGCAGCGTTATGCCCTCCACGTTAGAGTTGTATACATACCTAGCGGTCCAATGCAATCTTATCAATTGACTCTAGTACAAGATTCGCTCTCTGCGGTTATGTCTGCCCACCCACAGGATTATATTATCTTAGCTGGCGATTTTAATTTACCAAATATTAACTGGACATTAACAGGACCTGTACACTCACGCTTAGGTACCTGTGATATTCAAACTGCTTCCCGTAACTTTATAAATAACTTGAAATTTTTAGGTCTTAGTCAATACAATTTGAAAAGAAATAGTAGCAATCATATATTAGATTTATTAATCAGTAATACACACCTAATGACTTCCGATCCACATACACCCTTACTATTAGAAGATCATTTTAATCCAGCAATAGAAGTAGATGCTTCTGAAATTCTAGTTTCTGATCGAAAATCTAAACCACAAATTAGGCATAACTCCTATAAAGGGGACTATGAAAGCATAAATAATGAATTAGGTAATATTGATTGGGTATTCATATTTAGTAATAAATCAACCGAAGAAAGCGTCGATATATTATATAATGAATTATACAAAATTATAGAAAAATTCGTCCCAAAGTACATGTTATCAAGACGATATAACTACCCGGTATGGTTTTCAAAAGCACTAATAGCCGTTATTAAAGAAAAAAGTTCGGTGCACCGCAGGTGGAAAAAATATAAAAATTCACGTGATTATGATGAGTTCAGGTTACTGAGAAATAGGCAACACAAGATACAAAAGGAGTGTTATAATTTCTACATAAAGAAAATGCAAGAAGGTATTATAAAGACTCCCAAACTGTTATGGACGTATATTAAATCTAAACGTTTAAAAACTACTAGTTATCCAAAAACTCTTCATTTAGGCACAAATAAATATACAACAGATGAAGAAATCTGTAAAGGGTTTAATGAATACTTCGAAAGTGTATTTACAGATCCAGCCCCATCATACAATTTTTTCTCCACAACTGCAGTTAATAATAATGCTGAGTCTTTGAACTCGTTAACAATTACGAAAGAAGAGGTGTTAAAGTCTTTAAAAAATTTAGAGAGTTGTAAAGGGCCAGGCAGCGACAAAATACCCCCTATTTTCTTTAAAAACTGTGCTGATAAACTTACTTTGCCACTAACCATATTATTTAATAAATCTTTAAGTGAAGGCGTTTTTCCATCCAAATGGAAAGAAGCGCACATCATTCCTATCCATAAAAAAGGCACTAAAACTAAAATCGACCATTATCGTCCCATCTCTATCCTAAATACATTGGGGAAGTTATTGGAGAAAATTTTATATGCCAATTTATATCCAATTGTAGCACGAGCAATTCCTAATAAACAACATGGATTTATGAGCAATCGTTCTACTACTACTAATCTTAGCATTTTTACCAACGACATATTAAACAGCATGGATGTAGGTGCACAGGTTGACGTGATCTATACGGATTTTGAAAAGGCCTTCGACAGAGTGGATCACGTTATCTTGTTGCATAAATTACAGGTATTAGGTATCAACGGAGACTTACACCGCTGGATAAAATCATATATATCTAATAGGAGACAAGCAACAATTGTTGGCGGGTGCAGATCAGACTTTATAACTATAAAATCTGGAGTACCACAAGGTTCTCATTTAGACCCACTCCTTTACAATGCTTATCTATTTGATATACATTCATATCTTAGGCATTCTAAATTTCTAATGTTTGCTGACGACAAAAAAGTTTACTGTAACGTAAGAAAAATTGAAGATTGTATACTCCTTCAAAATGACTTAGACAGTTTAGCAAAATATTATAACATTAATAGAATAAGCATCAATGTGGAGAAGTGTAATCAAATAACCTTTACACGTAAAAAAAATCCGGTATTATTTCAATATACAATAAATAATATTCCCCTACACAAATCTTCTAGGGTTAGGGATTTAGGAGTAATTTTGGATTCCAAGCTCACAATGGTGGACCATATAAACTGCATAACAGAAAGAGCATATAAAATGCTAGATTTTGTATTTAGAGTGTGCAAGCCTTTCAGTAATATCAAGTGCATAAACGCCATTTACTTTGCATATGTAAGGAGCTTACTCGAATATGCGAGCTGTGTATGGTCTCCAAAGCACGCAAAGCATATTGATGCCATTGAATCCATCCAGAAAAAATTCATTAAATACCTAAATTTCAAAATGAGTCCAAATTGTGTTATCTACGAAGATAGCTGTCGTTTTTACGGATTTCTACCATTAAGAGATCGGCGCGAGTTGCTCGATATGTTATTTTTGCATAAATTGCTCACAGGTCAAATAGATTCTCCGGAGCTGCTATCGATGATATCGCTTAATGTACCTTCAAAGCGCACTCGTCATACAAATAAACGTTTATTCCATGTACCTTTGTCGCGTACCAGTTATTCATCAAACTCAGTTCTGTCTAGGATACTACATAATTACAACACGAAATTTTCTGATATAGATCCCTTTAATTCGACCACATATGGTTTTAAACAAGTCGTCATCAAAAAGCTTATGTAACATCAATATAGCATGTTAATTTATATAATACTAAAGCATTTTACACACACATACCTCCACACACACAGACACACACACTCTCTCTCACAAACGCATATACACACACATTATGTATATATATATATATATATATATATATATATATATATATACATATTTTTAAATTACTCTTTCTGCTCGTACTCTTAAGTTATGATTTTTAAGTAAGAAAACTGTAATTAGCTTTAATTTAAAACTAAGTAAAGGTTGTATACTATTATTGTAATCATGCCGTAGTTTTCTAATAAATAAATAAATAAATGTTATGTTACTTATCAACATTTTGTAAAGTTTCTAAAGAAACTATTATAAAGGATAATTTATCATCATTTGACATTGGTAAAAGAACAAAAGTACGAGTCTTTATCAAATAAAAAAAAAACACACGGCTTTCGTTAAGCTCAATAAAAATCTCCACAAAAATATCAGACATAATTTCGTCTGTAATGGATCACCCGGAAGTTTAAACAAACCTTTGTTTCAACCGACGTTTCGTTTGTTAATTTCATTGCCTGTGCTCGTTTTGTTTATTAAATCGATTTAAAAATATAGAGTCCATTGAGAACCTCCTCCATACGTTCTCAATTGGACTGTATTTTTTTGTTTGTTACTTCATAACTTTTTTCTAGTTGAACCGATTTTGATGATTCATTTTTATTTAACACCTGGCTGGTGCTTCTCATGTGGTTCCATATAAATTTGATCAAGATCTGAACAGTAGTTTTTGAGATATCCTTAATAATGATTATTTAATTTACTTCGACTTCATTGAAGATGTTCTCATTTTATTAATAATGAAGTCGGTTGTATAAAAAATTACCACTTGTTTGACACATTCTCTCGTTCGTTTCAAACTTCATCCTCGTTTTTATTTTATATATATTTACACACAAACAACTAAGAATATGTCACATCATCCAGTAGGCCTATTGTTATGTAATATAAAAATAAAAGGTAGTAAAGTTTGCAATTTTGTGATTATACCTATAAAACAAAATAATAAGCAGGAAAAATCTACTGAAATCGTTTTGGATGAGATGTCTACAGTTTACGGGGAATTTCTCCCTAGTGAAACTATGATATATTTGATCATCATCATATATTTGATCATCTTCATCATCATCATTACACACACATCACAGCCATTAACAAGTCCACTGTTGAACATAGGCCTCCACCAAGGAATGCCACAAAAGCACGGTCCTGAGGTACCTGCATCCATCGACTTCCTTAATGTGTTATCAGGTTGTCACTCCATCTAGTGGGGGAGGGGTACCCTACAATTCACCTGCCGGTGCGAGGCTGGCACTCAAGAATTTCCCCATCGGTTGTCGCTTCTTCAAACTATATGGCCGGCCCATTGCCACTTCAGGTTACTAATCCGTTTGACTATGACGATCACTCTGGTTCTACTGCAGATATACCCATTTTTAAGTTTATTACGCAGAGAATCTCCGAGCATAGCTCTCTTTATAGCTCGCTGAGCATCAAGCAACGAGAGAGAAGGACCACATCTCAGACACATAAGTCATCACACGCACTGGTTGTACAATCTGATTTTCATGCTTTGAGCTATACCTAACGAGAAGATGTGTCGTAATATCCCGAATGCTACCCAGCCGAGTTGAATCCGTCGAATGATCTCTTGGTCCAAGTTGGAGTTACCTAGTTTGACTATTCGTGCGAGGTAAAACACACTTGACAAAAACTTCGAGCTTAGTGCTCCCAACAACTACCGCCATAGTTGTACCATGGACGTTACACAAGGATTTATTTTGTCCATGTTCATCTTAAGACAGTGCTAAGGTCCTGCAGTGATTCTGCCATAAGGACTATCATAAGGATTTATCGTCAGCAAATCGAAAATGAGTGATGTACGCAATTGATGTTAATACCGTATCATTTCAAGTCCCTTAGCTTGAAAACGTCTTCCAGTGCAGTTGTGAAGTGTTTCGGGGATATTGCATTAACCTGTCTTACATTATTCTGCAGTTGGTTGGGTTTTCTACTCTGATTCTGTACTCGGATAGCTATCGTAGTCCTACTGTTTAAACACTTCAGTACTTCGATATATCGCAACTCAATTTGGCACCGTTGAAGGGACTACAGCATCGCCCGAATTTCGACGGAATCAAAGGATTTCTCGTATTCCACATACACAAGGCAAAGTGGTAGATTTTACTCCTTGGTCTTCTGTACAATTCTTGAAGGGTATGAATATGGTCTATAAACCGATTTGTTTGGGAAACTGGAAGTCGTCGAGTCTGGGTATGAGATACTACGTAATGACTATCGAAAACAGCACGTAGACGTGGCTCAGAAGGTAAATCGGTCTATAGTTCTTCAATAGAGCGTTGTCGCCTTTCTTGAAGAACATGAACACCGTACTTCTGCTCCACGTCTCCGGAGTAATGTCTCAATGAAGAATGGCATCAAAAAGCTTCTGAAGAACTTCAGGTACCGGTTCATCAGGTTTCCATCCGCTTTCAAACTACGCTGTAATTTCATCCTCGGTTGGGCCTGACCGTTTTCAAAGTGCTGGAGAGTCATTTTAATCTCGCTCAAACTAACGTCACTTCGGGCGTTACTTTCTATGGTTACTTTCTATGGTTAACGTTTTATGGGCAGCTGTACAGTGATGTGTACAGCTGCCCATAGAACTTTTAAATCTCACCCAAAATTTTAGTTGTCGGAAACGATGCTACCACATTCGGTCTTCAGCTTCGACAGTTGGCTCTTTCTGACAGACAGATTTCATACAAGGACATTGTAGACTACAAGCTGTATTGAAGTGGCCTAAGTTCCGCCGCATGCATTTGGAGATCTGTTTGTTCAGTTGCCTGTATGCTGTCAAATATGCTCAAAACCGCAACTTCATTTCTCGTAACAGAAATGAAATTAAAACTGTGGTAATTCTTTTTGTGTTCTTCTGCAACCGGTATGGCAGAACTTAGCTCTGATCGCATGGACAGTTTCTACGACTTTGTACTTTACACTGCATTGCAGTCTTCTAGTCTTGCCTGTTCCCCTCTGTTGCCTCTTACGACATCTAAGGGAAGATATGGGGTAGTGGATATTTTTAACTGCCACTAGACGGCATGATTTCATACTTAACACAATTTATTTAATAGCTTAAAGCAGATACTCCTTTGAAGACAATCCCAGAATGGGTCGACTAGTTAAGACAACTACTCTGGATTATGTAAATTTTTACAAATGGAAAAAGAATCCCTTCAACTGGTATAGTTAAAAATTGCATTGAAGATTGGATGAAGTCTGTTTAAAAAAAAGCACCTTGAAGAAGTAGATAGAATATCAAATACCATTATTATCAATATTCTGGATGATCGTCTTAGCGTGTCAAATGTGTACGCAAGATAAATGCTGAGTATTCTGACGCTTCATGCCAAATATTCAGATCTCACGATGTCCTTTATTATGTGCCTCCGCTAGATTCATTGTACCAAGTAAAAGTTTATTTCAGTAACGTAGCGAGTATTAATTGCACCTATATTTTTAAAAAAATGGCCGTTACGGCACGCGCAGTAGAATAATAAAATCAATATATTGTTCTTATTATTCTAATTTGAATAATGAACGCGATAAGAACACAATAGTTAGTAAAATAGAAAGCGAAACGTATACGTACAATACATAACGGTTTACACACGCACACACATAAGGAAGTCAAAAGTGGTGGCTTTGAGTGGGCATGACGTTATAAGAAAGCGTCATGCCGTTTGCCGTCACGGCGTACGAGTCAGTTTTAAGACAAAGGCGCGCCAATAGATGTTTCACATAAAATAAATTGTATACACTTTCCAGAAAATATTTAAGATGGAGCTAGTTACGTCGCGGCCCTTCTAGCTTGGGAGCCTAGTATCATTGTTACAGTAATATCTAAGCCCCAGACTCCTGCTGAGAAGCGTTTTCATTTCACGCCACGTGCGTCCTTAATTGCGACGCGCATCGAGAGTACGGTCTAAAGCGCGCTTCATTTTCGGTACTACAGGCACAATCACACGCTGGCTTGCTTAGCTCTTGCCATGAAACTAAATTTCATGCACTAAATTGCTTGTATATGAAAACGAAATGCTAAATGTAGGGAATTTAATAAATATTAATTATTAATTAGACTGAGACGTGGTCCTTCACCGCTGGCCGTATGAGGAAGCTCAAGGTCGCTCACCGAGCTCTGGAAAGGGCTATGATCGGGGTTTCTCTGCGTGATAAACTTAGAAATGAGGATATCCGCAGTAGAACCAGAGTAACCGACATAGCCCAACGGATTAATAAGCTGAAGTGCCAGTGGGCCGGCCATATAGCTCGAAGAACCGACAACCGATAGGGAAAAAAGTTTCTCGAGTAGTAGCCTCGCACCGGTAGGCGAAGTGTAGGGCAACCACCCACTAGATGGAGTGACGATCTGGTAAGACATGCATGAAGTCGATGGATGCAGGTGGCTCAGGACCGTGCTTTGTGGCATTCCTTGGGGGAAGCCTATGTTCAGCAGTGGACTTACGAAAGGCTGTTATGATGATGATGATGATGATTTATTAGAAGCTATCAAAAGTCCACTGCTGAACATAGGCTTCTCTCATAGATTGTCTCATAGGTGGGCTATAGATATATTTTTCACGTAGCGACGGCGTTAGAGAATATTAATTACGTGGGTGTCGTAAGAGGCTACAGAGGGAAACTGAAACAGGAAATGGCTGCTCCCCATTTCCTTAATAAATATAATTTTCGTATTTTTTATAGTTATTATAATAGGCTAAGCCCTCGCAGTAAATATCACAGTACACAAGAAGTCTTGGTTTGATCCCCGCTGGCACCATTTTAATTGAAGAAGAAACGAAAAACAGTAGCAATATTATGCTATTTAACGCTGGTTCAATAAATATTAGGTCCTTACAAATGAAATTGGCGTTTTGTACGGGAGGAATATAAAGTCATTATTTTTTGTAAAATATATTTAATTAATCAAAGTATGCACTGTTGTTATCTATGCACTTTTGCCATCTCATAGATAGTCCATCGATCTCTTTACTAAAAAAATCATGGGGACGAGAATCAATAAACTCTTTGAAGGCGGTTTGGACAGCCGCGTCGGAGTTGAATTTTTTCCCTTGGAAGAAGTTGTCCATGTTAAAATAATTTATTTACACACTTGTTTTAGGTTTTCTTATTTATTTGATATAAAAAGAACAGTTACATCAAACGAGTAATACTTCGCTTACGCCATTTTATAGAGAGAGAGCACATAGAAAAAGTGTTGCCAATATAAATGTACACAATTACCAATACGCCTCCTTACATTTATATTGTAAAATATTTAGATAAAGTTTCTTCTACAGTTACTATCAATTAACAATCTTTATTTTACTCCGTAAAATTTAACATTTCTCTAAATTTAGTGAATTTAACATTTCCCAAAGCTTTTGTAAATATATCTGCAATATTTTTTTCTGACTCCATTTTTACTACTTTAACATTTTCATGTATAAAATGATAGTGAACTTCAATGTGCTTAGAGTTCTTTGTAAAGTTTCCATATTTAGAAATGGCTACAGCTCCTGAATTATCTTCATAAATTTTAACTGCTTTACAAACTTTAGTGAAGACATCATTTATTAGACAAATAAGAAAATTTAATTCTGTTACTGCTTCTGATAAAGCTACATATTCAGCAAATGTTGAAGACTTTGTTACACTACTTTGTTTCTTTGATTTCCAGTAAATAATATTTCCAAACAATCTTATGACAAATCCTGTAGTTGATTTCCTATCTATAATATCTCCTGCCCAATCAGCATCCACAAAACAATCCAGAATATCAGCATTACTATTATTACAATATGTTAATTTAAGATCTTTTGTCAAATGCAAATACTTTAAAACTCTTAAAGCATACTTAAAATGTGTTTCATTATAACAGTTTTGGAATTTGCTTAAGTAATTTACACTGTAAGATATATCAGGTCTAGTACCTGAACTAATATACAAAAGAGCACCAATCAAATTTCTATATTTTACATCCTCATTAATATCAGATTGTTCCAATTTTAAATTTATTCCCATAGGGGCTTTAAACAATTTTGCATTCTCAATATTATAACGTTTAGCTAAAGACTCAATATAAGATTTCTGACTCAATATTAGGATATTATTTTGATTATACACATATTCAATCTCGATACCAATATAGTTTTTTACTTTACCCATATCCTTCATTTTAAATCTTTCAGAAAATTTGGTTTTTATGTCAGCAATAACTTCTACATTTTCACAACATATTAATAAATCATCAAGAAATAAAAGAATATAAACAGTTAAGTTGTTCTCCCTTTTAACATACAAACAATAGTCATATTTACTTCTGCGAAAACCAAAATTAGTCAAGAACTCATTAAAACATTCATACCATGCACGGGGGCTTTTTTAAACCATACAATGATTTATTTAATTTATAAACTTTATCAATTCCATTTTCATAGCCGATTTGCTTTACATAAACTTCAAATAAGATTCTACCATTTAGGAATTCTGTTTTAACGTCCATTTGATGAATAACTAAAGAATTTTGACAACAATAAGATAATAGTAGTTTAAGTGTCGGCAATTTAGCAACAGGAGAATAAGTATCATCAATACAATTTTTTTGTTGAAAACCACTTACTACTAACCTTGCATTGTATTCATTTTCGCTCTTCCTTTTATATACCCACTTCACATCAATTACCTTTTTGTCCTTAGGAGGATTGTTAACTAGAGTCCATATGTTATTTTTCATTAAACTGTCCATCTCACTATTCATTGCTTCTTTCCATTTCATTGCCTCATTACATGTAGTTGCCTCCTGAAAATCAGTTGTAGCTAAAGCGTCGCAGTAGTTACAGTATATGCAATAATAACCGAATTCTTCATCAAAACGAAGTGGACGTTTGACTTGTCTTTTTGATTTTCTATTTTGCTCTTCATTTTTAATTTCTGCTACACTTGTTTCATCATTTTCTGAGTATTTTATTGGATCTTATTCCTCTTGTGTCCTTTTGTCTTCCTTTTCCTTTTCTTTTATTTTATATTCAGTATTTTTATCTTCCTCACCTTCTAAACCACATGGTTTAATATCTTCCTCTATTATATCACAATTTCTAGCAATAATAACGCTGTTGTTAATAAACACTCTGTATCCAGTATCAGTATAACCAAGTAAAATTCCAACTTCTGCTTTCTTATCCCATTTAGACCTTCTGCCGTTCTCCGGGAATTCTTACAAAAACTCTACTTCCATACTATTTCAAATTTTGGACTGATGGCTTTCTTTTAAAAAAAATTTCATACGGCGTTTTCCTCTCAATAGTATTAGTCAAAGTTCTGTTCTTAAGATAAGCAGCTGTTTTAATTACTTCTGGCCAAAATTTTTTTCTACCTTTGCTTCTGATAAAAGACATCTACCCATATCCATTAATGTACGATTGTATCTCTCTGCTGTTCCATTTAATTGATGAACATATGCTGGACAGAGTTTTATTATTATTTCTTTCTCTTTTGCGAACTGAATAACTCTTCCATTCATATATTCCTTCCCATTGTCACATAGCAGTTCCTTTATCGTTTTTCCTGTCAAGTTCTGTACCTCATTAACATATTGCACCAAGTAGTCGTATACTTCATCCTTCGATCTGATACAATAAACTTTCACTAATTTGCTGTAATCATCGACAAAGCTCAAAAAATATTTTGCTTTATTATATCCTGTAGTCTGATGTAGCCCATTTAAATCAGTATGAACAATCTCTAATATCTCCTCTGCTTTCCGTCGATTATTTTGAAATGGTAAGTTATGCATTTTGTTTTCAATACATATTGCACATTTTAAATATTCATATTCAATATCTTTAGGTAATCCTTCTAATGACTCATTTATACACATTAATTCCAAATTTTTAAAGTTAATATGGCCCATAGTGCGATGTAGTTTTTCCTTTTTACTCATATTTGCTTCCAATATTTCTTCATACATGTAACTTTTCATCTTATACATTCTCGCCTCCTTAATTGCAATTGCTATAACCTTTCCATAATAATTGTTGTAAATTTTTGACAATTTCCCACTTGAATTGATTGAATATTTGTCAGTAATTTTGCAATAACTCAATAAATTTGCCTTCATTTCTTTTACAAAAAAAAACATTTGTCAGAGTCACTTCAGATTTTTGTCCATAGACCAAGAAATAAGTTTTAATATTACCAATTTTTGTAGCTTCTAATATTGTGCCGTCCCCAATTTTAACTTTAACAGGTTTATTTAATATCTCACAGGAATTGAAGTACTCATCAGTATTAATAATATGGTCTGTGCATCTACTATCTAGTAACCAATTTATTTGACCTTTCTTTGTCTTATAATTCTCACTCGTTGTGTAAGTATTATTTGCAATAGTAGTATGAAAACTGTTTCCATGACTCTCTTGATTATTATGGTGATAATTTCCTGAGCCTCGTCCTCTGTTATTATATGAACCAAGTCCTCGATAACCAGAGAAACCACGTCCTCTATAACCAGAGAAACTACGTCCTCTATGATGAGAAAAACTATGTCCTCGTTCACGGTTTACATTTCCTGATTTACAGTCTCTTCTCAGATGGCCAGGTTTTCCACAACTAAAACAATTATTTGATGGCTTGGCATCTGCTTTAAAAGCATTTGATGTATCATTTAACGTTTCACTCACATTTTCCGTATTTTTCAATTTTATTTTACTTTTTAAATAGTCAACTGTTCTTTCACCCTCTGGCAAGACATCAATTAAATCACCTATGTAGCTGTAACTTACTGGGAGTGCTTTTAACATATAATTTAGTTTTTCTGTTTCTGATATCGTTGCACCTGCTTGTTTTAACTCATTTACAGATTTTTCAAAGTCATCGAAAAATAGAGACACTTCAGAATAATTTTTCAATTTGACACTTTCGAGGTTATGTCGACATACTATTTGCAACGCTGTTGATTTTTTCAAATACATCTCGTCCAATTTCTGTATTATTTCGTAGGCTGATTCAAGATCGCTTAGACTGGTTGGTTAATGCACTATAAATATAGTTAGTTGCTTGTACATTTCTGTCATCCCACTCCACTTTGTCGGTTGCAATTTTCGCTCTCATTACAACATCCTTGCACTTTTTGAACTGCAGAAATTAGAGTATTCGTATTTTCCAATTACTATAGTCTGTACCGTCGAAAATTGGAATATTTATATCGCTATTTTTAGTCGCCATTTTTTTTCTTCTTTTTTTTATTTTAGAAACTTATCAACCCCGGACTGCTACCATGTTAAAATAATTAATTTACACATTCTTGTTTTAGTTTTTCTTATTTATTTGATATAAAAGGAACAGTTACATCAAACGAGTAATAATTCGCTTACGCCATTTAATAGAGAGAGAAAATACAGAAAAAAGTGTTGCCAATATAAATGTACACAATTACCAACAGGCCAAATTCCGGAAGACGTGGTTATCTGTTGAAGAAAGGTCTGGGGAGTACGGTGGATGTCGCAGACATTCCAATTGTAGAACAACGAAAAAAATAATGAGGAAAAAGCAAATAAATGTCTATTTTCACAACTAAAATGTACCAGCTAAATGAATTTATAAATTTGAATTTGGAATTGTTAATTAAAGAGGAGATATTTCAGATCAAAGTGGTCAGTACGACAAAACGTTAATTTCATATGTACCTAATATTATTAATTAAATTTACTGAGGTATTATAATATAATATAATAAAATAAGTCAATTGCTCGGTAAAATCTAGAAAGTATATTTACACATTGCTTAAAACCAGAAAAAGACAGATTAATTGTACGTAGTCTTGCGAAAAAGGAAAAGCAAACTAGACATAACGACGGTGCGGAGACTAATGCGTTTGTATTAATCACGGACAGTTCAGTTTTAACCTGCTTGAAGTAACGCAACTGTGAGATAAACAGAGAATTTTTTTTAGAGAGAGTTACTTTGTTCTCATCGATGGATAGCGAGAAGGTTTTTAATGATGCCTTCCTATTAACACACTTTTATTAGCTTTGCATGTATCTATCTATCTATCCATGTAACGAATTCTTTAAATGTAATTTTCACCAACTTGTAGACGGCTGATTGACTTGACTATTTGCATAAAGTTACTTCTGTCCCACTGCTGGGCACAGCCCTCCCCTCATTTCTGAGAGAGATTTAGGGCAAAAAATGTCCGCCGCACTGCCCTTATGCGTGTTGGCAAACTTCACATGTCTTAGATTTTTTTCTTATTTTTCAGACATGCAGTTTTCCTTGACCACCGAGCACGTGGTAAATCAGCACTTAAAATTGCAATTAACAATTTCATTGGTGCCGGTAGGGATCGAACCCGGGTTGCCCATGTACTGTGAAATTTACAGCGAGTGCTAACCATCTGAGCAACACTAGGTGGATAGGCGAGAAAAAGTGTAAGATTTTTCCGTCGTGACTCCCTTTCTATAGTGCGACTGAGATGGAATAATAGATAAATAGATTTATATAAATATATGCCCTATTATTATGTCGTAAAGCATAACAAACTTAGTAACCTTCAACAACATTATCGATACTTTGATGTCGAAAAGGTAACATTTCTAAAACCGGTTTTTACCTTACATTCATTAGCGTCACCTACTGCTACGACGTATATGATATGATTGTCGCTCTAAAATTCATGAAAAATATAGCGACTATGTTCGGTTATTTTTTTTAAATCAACTAACTAATACACAAATACTTATAACAATTTTTAATACAATAAATAAAGTTGAAGTTACGGCCTTAATATTTCCCACTTTTAGACACAGTCTTCCTCTTTTTTTATGTTTTAGGGCAAGAGTCAGCCGCGTTTCCCTAAATATAATAAATATTTTATATAATAATCCTGTATTAACTTTAAATACTTTCGCCATGTAGTAGCGGTGTTAAAATATTAACTACCCTCAATCTTCCTAGGGTTACGTAGTAACTATTTATCTAATCTGTAGTGTTATGCTACTTACTTATCATTTTACATTATTTTAAATTCATTTTTCCATTCTGTTTCGATTTTCTGCATTCACTTCAAAACTGGATATTTTACATCACCTTTATTTCCATAGGATCCTGTAACGATTTTAAACCATAAGAACACAATAACAAATTATTTCTACTTCGTATTTTCACATTATCAGCACTTTTAAATTGGTGTCAATGGAGTCTACCTTTTTTCGATATTTTAGTTAGTTTTCCGTAACTCTACAATTTCGGGCTTTGTGTGGGCAGTTGCGCTACCTTTTTTCCTATATCAATAATATCTCATTATCCACTTAAATCTTGCCGTTTTCTTATTACAAGCCTAAAACTAAAATTTGACATGTTTTGACATTTTTGTTTATTTGGTCTCCATAGTAATTATATTCAAATTTGCTACCGATCTGTTGTTCCTATTTCGATAATTCCACATAAATACTCTTTTCTCTTGACCATTTACAAAAAATTTGCGTTTAATTTAAATAATTTTTCCGTTCTCTCTAGAAAGGTATAAAAGCCGAACAATCGGTGAAGAAAGGCAGTCTTGCTTCAGTTCTCGAATTGGAAGCATCTTCTAAAGGCCTTATCCCGGGGCCGCACTGCCCCGGGATCCTGCAAGCCTCCACCTACACGTGAAGTCTTCGGCGAAGCCTTCTTCAAGCGCGGGGCCGCACCACTCCGGAATCCTACAAGCCTCCATCTACCTCGGAAGTCGTCGGCAGTCTACTTCAAGCGCGGGGGCCACACTACTCCGGGCGCTACGACTGCTTACTCCAGGCGCCGAGTGCACCTACCGCCGGCGCTACCTTTGGGCGCTGCAACTGCTGACTCTAAGCGTTGAGCGCACCTACTCCAGGCGCTACGTGCGCCGGCTCCGGACGCTGCGTGTGCTGGCTCCAGGCGCTGCGTGCCGTCGCTGCTAAGAAACCTACCTCTACAAGCGCAACCGACGTGTGCTGGCTTCAGGCGCTGCGTGTCGTCGCTGCTAAGAAACCTACCTCTACAATCGCAACGTGTGTCGCTTCGACTTTTCGGCTCCACTACAACTCTATATTCCCCTATTCTCCTACCTTTATTTTTTTGTAATCTAATTGTACTCTCACTTCATTCATCATCATCCTCATTTCATTTTTTTATAAAATTGTAAATATCTTTGAATTTTAAATATATTTTTGTTTTTGTTGTATTTTTGTTGTTTTGTTGTTCTTAGGTTAGATTCTTTTTGTTCTTTATTGTCGCTTCACGACAAATCTTTGCCGTGGGTATCGTCATAGGTGACAAAGGGACATTGGCAGCAGCTTCTTCCTGATAACAACTGAAACTAAAAAATGCGATTGCCAACTCGCTTGCTAAGCCTGGAATTTATGTTAAATATAAGACGGAGTTTAAATATTGATGTATCGTGTAGGGTGATCCCACTAGATCCAGTGATGACCTGGTAAGACATGCAGGAAGTTGATGAATTCACATCGATCAGCACCGTGTTTTACTGCATTACTTTGAGAAACCTATGGGCAGCAGTGGACTGAAAAGAACTGTAATGATGACTTTGAATAACAATTTTCAGTGGATGTACCAACATTGGTTGGCGCTCGAGCCTTGTTTATAAGTTCTACTAGAAGTCTGAAATATAAGGATGTTTTATTACCTATACACTCCAGAATACCAATAATTGTGTCTGAAACTAAAGCAATAACTAATTAAATGCCCCACCGTGCAAGCACAACATATCAATCACTATGTGTTAAGTCCAAACATTTACCAATACAAATGGATGACACACCCACTTAGCGTAATGGTTGCCGGTTAATCCCGCAAGATTGATTTGTTGAGTTTTGTTTTACTGTCGTCCCAGTTTTTTAAGCAAAGTTGATTTAAAAGATAAAGAGAAAAGAGGACAAGTTTTTTGAATTATTTTATTTATTTTTCTGGTTAGTACAATAATAAAAATGTCTGACAAATACTCATAAAGTTGTACCGGCGATACCTAACAGCGCTTCAACTGTAGGAACACAAATCTGATACGTTCATTTCAGGCTATCAAAAGTCTATTGCTTAACATATATGGAAATGAAGGGTATATATCGGAGCCATGGATAGTCTCTATGGAAGATATTTGTCTTCTTGTTTGTGTAGTGATTAGTTGAACTGGTATTTTGTTGCAAAAAAGGGATTTTATGCACTCCATTTATTTTACTTTAAAACAGCTCTTAAAAGAATACGAAGCGTTTTGAAATATAGAAACCCGGTAATATTTGCCTAGGTTGGAAACCGCAGTTTTTTAATATTATTATAACCGAAACTTTTTTATTCAATATAGATTATAAATAATGCTTATAATATAGATTATATACAATGTAGATTATATATATATAACTTATTCGTATATCAGTAGACTGGAATTTTAGATTATTTTAACTGGAAAATAGGCATTCCGTCTAAGTCCTCAGATGTGACAACGTATCTGCATTTTGATTGTTAAAAAATAAAGAGATAATAGCTTAATAGCAGCGTGTGATTCGCGAACTCAATAGGTCGTGGGTTCGGATCCTTCATTCTTCGTAACACAAGCATTTTTAGCTTTACAGAAATGTTCTATTAAATAATTATGTTAAAAGCATTGTTAATATTAAATAAATGTCTTAATCGATAATAGTTGTAGATGTTTATGGGCTACACCAGTGGTCGGCAAAGTGCGGCTCCAGAGCCGCATGTGGCTCTTTGGCTCCTTAAGTGCGGCTCTGGCACAAATATCCACGGAAGGCGCAATAATATTTTCATCTAAAAT